AAGAAATTTAAAGAAATGTCATATTATATTTTTTTATACGTATATATATATTAAATTAATGTGGGAGGAAACCGGAGCACCCGGAGTAAACCCTTACAAATACTGGGAAAAAATACACAAAAAGAAAACTACTGAACCAGAAGGGAAGGTGGGTCTGGGAGAAGTGGAAGAGGGGGGTCATCTGTTCAAGTGTTGGAGCTATCACTGAAGCAAGCTTTGCAGGGCTTCACAACAGCTTTGCACACAGATGAGAAGAACCTGACAACTGCATTCTTGACTCTTGAATCTCGAGTCTTTGGAGTTGGAGCGGGCACGGTCAGGTGGGTCTTCAAACCCTGGATAAGAAGATCTTCAGCAGCCAGATCCTGTGATGCTACGGCTTTCAGAACCACGTCCGCAGAACCATAGTGCTGACACAGGACCTTGTAGATCTTCTTAACAGTTTGTTTCGAGTGACGGTTCGAGCTGATAACAACGTCAGCGAACTTTATCTCTCCCACTACCTTATCCCTCAGATTCTTGATGATCCTATTGAAATCTTCTTGGATCAGGGATGTCCGGGCCTTCTTTGTGGAATGCAGTAGGAAGCTTACAAGCAGCATGACAACCAGTCTTTGCTTCTTGTCATTATCTGGCAATGACGCTGACACACCACCTGGTTCAAGGTCAGTAGTTTCAGCTGATGCCTGGCTGGTCGCGTCCTCAGGTTGGTCCTTTGCATATGTGTCGTTAGACCTCTGCACCTTCTCAGCAGTTTCTACACTGCCAAGATCACATTCTTCAGCATATGCTTCACATGATGCACAGCCATAATCATAGCTGTCAGAGGAACTCCAGCCGTCTGCGTCCTCATACCAGAACGAAGCTTTCTCGTTAACAAAGCTCGTACGCCACATTTTGGTGATCTCTGTCAATATTTCCATTACTTTTTTGTTCACAGTTGAATAAGTTACGTCACAAGGTCCCTGCTCTATGACCATAAGCATTGGCCTCTCCTCTGCCTTGCAGTGATGTGATGCTGGAATCTCTGAGGTGTTGCACAGCAGTGTGCACTGGCAGTTCACTAGGCGCGAGCATCTAAGTATTTCAGTAACTAAACCAACCATAGTATTAAGCGTTGTGAAACAGATGCAGTTAGACTGAAAATGTAAGGGTATCGTCGGCAAAACCGCGGTGTTCAGTATTGCAGCAATGCGAGAGTTGACTCTTGCCGTCACCTCTCTTGCAACTAACTCGATGAATCTGCCTAAATTCTCGCAGTTAAAATTTTTATACAACGAATTCGAGAAACACTGTGGAAGGATGTTTAGCAAATTAGCCAGGACATTCTTCTCATCTATGCCAAAGAAACACTGGTCAGGGTTTACGTGCGCGTATATCCGAGGGGCTTTCCTGTGCCAGTCTGAAAAAACAGGTCTAACTGATTCCATGATAGTCATGGCAGACATATTAACGATGTGCTGACATAAGTCAACCATTAAAGTCAAACTACAGTTGTCGTGGGTGCCAGATTCCACCGATTCCCAATGGTTTATAACCAAATACCTTAGATACGGCTCGATGTGTATATCACTTCTTTTGATCAGAGGGAATGTCACGTGAGCGCTCAGTACGAGTCCTGATGAATACATGCTGAGTGTAGGCGGATTCTCTGCTTTCAAGATGCTTCTAGGTTTGGGTTGTCTCTCAGTGTTTTGCCACAGACACACTGCTCAAGTAAGTCTGGTGCAGTTGTCCAGGCAACATTCTGCCTTCTGTAACTAGATCAAAGACACTGTTCTGTGGCGTCATAAAGGGGCGGGGCATTATGTCATTCTTTATGCAAATGAGGTTGTTGGTGTCACAACATGGTAACAGTGTGTTTCTTTTCTTTTTTTGAAGAATATTGTGTAGTGTCTACATGTCAGCACAAGATGGAGCTGTTGAGTGAAAGGATGGCAGAGACTTCCCAAAAATACTTAATTGTAAACAAAAATATTTACATGGAACCTGTAGAATTTTTGCAGCTCCAAACCTTAACTTATTTAGTTCACTATCATATATGACAAAAAAGCAGCAAATCCTCACACTTGAGAAGCTGGAACAAGCGACTTTTTGGCATTTTGGTTGATTAATTTGATTAGAAAAAAACTCAACAGAAGAAAGAAAAATAATCAGTAACTATTTTGATAATCAATTAATCTTTTTAAATCATTTTTCAAACAAAAATATCAAACATTAACTTAAATTTGAGGATTTGCTTCTTTTCTCTGTATTATACCCTATCATTGTGAACCAGATATTTTTGGACAAGTCATTTGATAGCATCAACTTGGAATCAGGGAAATTATGAGGGACATTTTTGATTATTTATTATTTGATTAACTTAATGGAATTGAAGTTAATTGAGAAAATAATATATTCCTTCCAGTCTACAGTATGGACTCCACAAGATCAGACAGCAGTTTCACTCCTGAATCCCTCAGGCTGTTTTCACTCAGGTCCAGGTCTCAGATGGGAGGATTGGACTTAACAGCTGAGACCAGAGAGGCCCAGTTGATTGCTAACAAACTGCACCACCTCAGTCTGAATAAAGAATACAATAAATGGTTCCTGCTTAAAATAATCCAATCTTTAATAATCGGTTCAGAGCCAACATTTGGCATTTTATGGTGCTTGAGTGTAAAAATTACAGCAAAGGCTAACAGTGCAAGTTGTTTGGGAAGTTGTTCCAAATGTGGTGCATAAAAAACTAAGTGCTGCCTCTCTGTGTG